TTCAACACACTTACCTATATAAATGGAAGTTCCAAAACATGAAACAAACAGAATGATTCCTGTCCTTCTACCTCTATATGCCTTCAGGTTGGTGGCAAAAGCAATCTGGATCACTGCCAAATAATAGTAATAATGTCAAAAAACAATTTCCAGATGGGACATGTTTCCAGTTTCCTCACAGATAGGCATGGTTTCAAAGTCATTAAAAGAAAGATCTAAGCTGGGCGTGGTGGCTCACATCTGTAATCCCAGCATTTTGGGAGGCCAAGGCAGGCAGATCACCTGAGGTGGGGCGTTTAAGACCAGCCTACCCAACACGGAGAAACCCCATCTCTACTAAAAAATACAAAATTAGCTGGGCGTGGTGGTGAATGCTTGTTATCCCAGCTACTCAGGAGGCTGAGGCAGGAGAATCGCTTGGATCCAGGAGGCAGAAGTTTTGGGGAGTGGAGATCGCACCATTGTGCACTCCAGCCTGGGCAAAAAGAGTGAAACTCTGTCTCAAAAAAAAAGAAAGAAAGAAAAAATAAAGAGAAAGATCTAAAAGTCTGAGATCTGCCAGTGAATATCAAGCTACAACCTTCGGTCTGTTATTAGACAACTATAAATATCCTAACTCCTTGTTGAATTCAAAGCTCTTGATATTCAGCTGTTGAATTCTGTTATGGCATAGAATCAAAACTTTCAGGTTAGACTTCAGTGTGCCAAGATGCACACTAATTGCTTCATGTATATTATCTCATTTATTTATCACTATACTCTGTGAGGGAAATACTATTACTCCCATTTGATAGATGAGGAAACCAGGGATATAGAATTCTGAGGACATAGGGAAACAGGTCAGGCTTCACGTGATTTGATTAGACATAACACAGAGGTAGCTGGAGAACTAAGATTTTTACAATATTCATTATTCAAGATATTTATTAAGTACCTACTCTGCCAGAAACTTTTCTAGGTACTGGGGAACAGATTTCTGTTCTACACAACTTACATTCTAGAGAAGGTAAAAAAAGAGAGACTGGAAACAAAATAATACATTTATATGTTATGACTCACAGTTCCACACACCTGGGGAGGCCTCACAATCATGGCAGAAGGCAAATGAGAAGCAGAGTCATGTCTTATGGGGCAGCAGGCAAGAGAGCATGTGCAGGGAAACCCCCCGTTATAAAACCACCAGATCTTGTGAAACTTATTTGCTATCATGAGAACAGCACGGGAAAGACCCATCTCTATGATTCAATTACTTCCCACCAGGTCCCTCCCACAACATAATCAAAACAGAAATAAAAGAGAAATCCAGATGAGAGAGAGGTAACATTCTAAGTGGCCTTATGTTTTGATTCTCCCACAACATAAATAAAAGCACTTGGCAATTTTCCTCTGACTGAAATAAGAAAGCAGCGGATTTAGAGTCCACGAAGGGCAAGTTCTGACACCCATTTTAAAGTGTGCTGGGTGGGAAGGACTGGGACCCAGGAGGCTGGCAGGGAAGACTCCTTCGGACACTGCAGAGTAACTTGTGCCAGAACTTTTCAGTGGAAGTGGAGAGAAGTGGCTAGATTCTAACTTCAAATTAGTGAACAATTGAACTCTACATCTCCCCACACTGGGCACTCTGAAGGCACTGAGGGCAGGTGACAAGTTAGTGTGGGAGTTTTTCTGCTTCCATTTGTATGTGTCTGTTACACGTTGACCCTCCACCTCCACTCCCATAGACAGACAGAGGGAGCAAAAGACATGCTCAGCAGAAAGAGGATGGGCTGGAGAGACGTCTGATGTCTCTGTGCCTGCCATGCTCCCATCATTCTCAGAGGCTGGTCAGGAACCAGGGGAGGCGATGGGCACGCCCACCCGCAGGCATGCACGCAAACATGGTGGGTAACAAAATTGGGGCAGAGTCAAAACATAAGGCCACTTAGAATGTTACCTCTCTCTCATCTGGATTTCTTTTTCTCTAGAAACTTCCTAAGTCTGTTTTTTTCTTGAAGGGAAGAAATTGCAGAAAACCTATGGAGAGTAGGGAGTGAGAGGACCACTTCTGAGTTTTCCATTAGCTGCTGATACCAGTAAAGTTATCAGAGCATCTTATATCTGATCTGGAGAACACATATGAGCATAGATTCTTTGTGGGAACTCCCTTAACTGTACACACTTGGAGAATTCTTTTGTGAAAATATTAATTACCCACATTGATTATATAATTTTTATATTTTGTAAATTATTGTTTCTGATAAGTACTCACAAACATCTTGGAAAAAAGCAATAATTTTGGTAAGGTCACCACAGTTAGATGACTTCTCAAAACACCAACTTTTAAAAACATGGTCAAATGACTTAAGATGCCTCTGGCCATATTTTTCTTTGCTCACATTTTAGTGACTCCCAGAGTGTAATATATACTAAAATATTATACTGCATTAATATGTAAATATAACACAGTGTAATTATCAGAAAAAACAGGTAAATGTTCTGTCTAATTAACTTAATTTCTGCTAGATTTTTGAACTGTTGTATATTTAAGAGTAAGTTTTCTACACCTACTTTTAAATATTTCTAATAGAAAATCAGGTTACAACTGTGGCATGGAAGTGTAATTACTACTCAAATTATTGTGTTCAAAGTATCTAATGTATAATGATAAACCTTATATTTTCTTTCTGTTTTCTTAAAACTATATGTTAAATTTTAGAATATCACAATTTCCAAGCCACTAGATGCAGAAAATAATTTTCCATGCATTCATGATCTCTTCTGAATGACCACTTAGTAGATAAACTTCCATTCATTTGTTTATCAACTGTCCGCTCTCCACTCATTCCCAGGATTGCTGTCTGTCTTGTTCACTTCAGTATCCTCAGAACATAGAATAGTGCTTGACACATGGTGCATGCTCATTAACTACTTATTGAATGCACATATGAATGAATGAATGCAGATTGGTATGAATTTCAACATTTTAATCATTAGCACAACATGATGCATAATATGCTCTCATAAATGTGTGTTGAATGAATGCATTTATGTTGTGAATTCCTGATACATGATAGTTAAAGAACGAGTCTGGTCTTAGGGTTTGATGGGTCTGCATTCAAGTCCAATGTTAACCATTCATTAGCTATGTAACTTGGACCATTTATTTAACTTCTGGAAGGTTTGGTTTTGTCACCTGTAAAATGAAGCTTGTGAATAGGCATAAGATGATGTATATAAATCACTTAGTGCCATGCCTAGAATATCAGGCTTAATAAACGGTGGCAGTTATCAGGTCAAGACTCTGGTGAGTCAAGGAAGGTATAAATGTTAAGAGGATGCCACGGAGCTCAGTAAGCAAGAAAATGCTTACATGAAATACTTTTAAAAATGAAAATTAGGCTGGGTGCGGTGGCTCCTTGTAATCTCAGCACTTTGGGAGGCTGAGGCGGGCAGATCACGAGGTCAGGATTTCAAGACCAGCCTGACCAACCCAGTGAAACCCTGTCCTTACTAAAAATACAAAAATTAGCCAGGCATGGTGGTGTGCACCCGTAATGCCAGCTACTCAGGAGGCTGAGGCAGGAGAATTGCTTGAACCCAGGAGGTGGATGTTGTGGTGAGCCTAGATCGCGCCACTACACTCCAGTCTGGGCAACAGAGCAAGACTCCATCTCCAAAAAAAAAAAAGAAATTAACGCAAAAATCTATGTTGAACAAAATATCAAAATTTTTCATAAAGACAGGATCAGTATTACTGATTCTTTCTTTTGCCTCAGGCTCCATTATGGCTTGGCAGGACCCTGGCGGTTATAATCATTAGGTTGACAAAGGTGCTTTTAATGTTATCATCTCACAGAGTGCTTAATTTGTAGCAATTGACTTTAAGCTTTTAGGTCTTAGAGCCATGGCCCCTTAAGAATGTAGCAGAATCTAACCCGGTTGCTTTATCTGGAATTCCCTGGGCTGAGATGTCGGAGTTTCTACCTGTTATCCACCTCTTCCCCCAGCCCAATACCACAGTCTTATCTGGGACTGTAATGGAAGAGGAACTAACTCTTTTTGAACTTCTCTTAATATGATAATAATAAAGGTCCTATCTCTCAGGCAATACTTAATGCATTATGACATTTTATTAAAATAACTTTTATATAGAGACATGGCCTCACTATGTTGCCAAGGCTGGTCTTAAACTCCTGGCCTCAAGCAATCCTCCCACCTCAGTCTCTCAAAGGGGTGGGATTAGAGGTGTGAGCCGCTGTGCCTGGCCTCATTAAAGCAATTTTAAAAGTAGGACATAAACCTTTTTTTTTTTTTTTGAGATTGAGTCCCACTTTGTTGCCCAGGCAGGAGTAAAGTGGCATGATCTTGGCTTACTGGAAGCTCCAACTCCCAGGTTTAAGCGACTCTCCTGCCCCAGTCTCCCGAATAGCTGGGATTACAGGCACCTCCGATCATGCCCAGCTAATTTCTGTATTTTTAGTAGAGATGGGGTTTCACCATCTTGGCCAGGCTGGTCTTGAACTCCTGACTTCAAGTGATCCACCCGCCTCAGCCTCCCAAAGTGCTGGGATTACAGACATGAGCCACTGTGCCCAACCTAAAAGTAGGACATAAACTTTTGATGAATGATGTCTCCTATAAATACTATGTATATATATTAATATCATATTCCTACTACTATGCTAAAAGTAGGTAAAAAACAGAGAATGGCGTTCCTTAATAAATCTTTAATAGCTTATAATTTAAAAGTCAAATCAAAAGACATCATCAAATGACAACTAGTGTTTTGCCAAAGAATATTTTATCATCTAATTTCTATTTTCCCAGCGATATAAAGAAATAGAAAAGAGATTAAAAACCTATTGAATGTTGAATGATCTTTGGAACCTAAGAGTAAGAATGACTTCTTTTTAGTATTTCCTATGTGTCTGACATGGAGCTAAGGGTTTTCTGCACATTACCTTGTTTCATCCCATTTTCAACTCAACAAAGTGGCGACCCTTATTATTCCTGTTTTACAGATGGAGGAGTTAAAGCCCAGAGGTAAAATAACTTGCCCAAGATGACCCAGTGAATAAGCAGAGATTTGAACCCAGACCTGTTTGGTACCTTCTGGATGGTAGCTAAACCCAAATGGAAGGCACCTGAAACCTTGAAATGAGGTAGCTTAGGATGTAATCACATCCTAAGGACGGAATCACCGAGGTTGAATCCATTGACCTGATCACCTGCCGTGGCGGCCACTTCCTCCCTTCCCATCCCATGCACCTCTCTCGGAAGCTTCATGCTATGGGACACTCTGCTAGGTGCCACGAAGTTCAAGAGACTTTGCCTACATGTGTATACATTCTTAGGAAATTTGTAAGTTCACAAGAATTGAAGTAAAACTCACAGTGCACGCATTCCTAATTAATAGCTCAATGTAGGTGGTCTGGGAGAAAGCTCTTTGAGAAATCAAATGCCCACAGGTGGTTAACCGTCCTCTTCTTTACAGCAACCCATGGCCCTCTTTGTCCACTTCTGAAGGAAACTGAAGAAGAACTGTGTTCTGCAAGATCCCTCAGATCTGCCCCTACTTTTAGACAGGCAACACAAAGACAGAACTTTTCAACGGGATAAAGGAGCAAGAAATATGCCTTAACTAGCCCAAGGTTTTATCCAGCAGAGGCAAACATACACCATGGAGAAGTAAGAGGTAGAGAAAACTTGCCACAATGCCTGGGACCGTTCAATCTGGATAGAAGGGCTGACCAGGTTTGATCCACAATCAGTGAAAAGAAACCCACACCCGCAAGCAGCTACAAGAGATTCCTCAGATCCACCAATCATTAATTTAGATAAAATAATAAACACCAAAAATCCAAATAACTCTACTTTCCTCCCCTCTATATTAGCTCAAATTACCTCCTCTTTAGAAAAGACCCATACAGCCCTTATAACTTTTTCATGAGAATTACAAGAAACAAAGCTGAGGTTCTTACCCCGGGCTTGCACTGTCGCAGCAGAGCTGCAGGTGTGTGAATGATTCGTTGACAGGGTCAGAATTGGCTGCAGGAGCTGAATGAATCAACTTTTTCTGTGACGCTTAAAGCCCATCCGCCCTCTACTGCATGCTAGTGGTATTGCATGTTATGTATATTCATTATAATCGTAACACTTTTTTAAATTGCAGTAAAATACACATAACATAAAACTTACCATTTTAACCATCTTTTTATTTTTTATTTTTTTCAGGCAGGTTCTCACTTTGTCACCCAGGCTGGAGTGCAGTGATGTGATCACAGCTCACTGCAGCCCCGACCTCCTGCGCTCAAGCCATCCTCCCCCCTCAGTCCCGCCAATAGCTGGGACTACAGATGCATGCCAACTGGCCTGGCTAATTTTTTTTGTATTTTTTGTAGAGACAGGGTTTCTCCATGTTGCCCAGGCTGGTCTTGAACTCCTGAGCTCACGTGATCTGCCTGCTTTGGCCTCCCAAAGTGCTAGGATTACAGTGTGAGCCACTGCACCCAATGTTACCATTTTTAAATGTACAATTTAGTGGCATTAAGTACATTCACACCATTATGCAGCTACCATCACTGCTGATCTCCAGAGCTTTTTCATCACCCCAAACTGAAATTCTATGCCCATTAAACAGTAATTTCACATTTTCTCCTCCCCTCACACCCTGGAAACTACAATTCTACTTTCTGTCTCTATCAATTTGACTACTCTAGGTACCTCATGTCTGTGGAATTATACCATATTTGTTTTTTTGTGACTGGCTTATTTCATTGAGCATAATGTCTTCAAGTTTTATCCATATCATTCTATTATTATTACAGAGAATCAGAATCCTTCCTTTTTAAGGCTGAACACTATTCTGTTGTATGTACATCCCACATTGTGTTCATTCATTCATCCATCAATGGACGCTGGGGTTGTTTTCACTTTTTGGCTCTTGTGAATAATGCTGCTATGAACATGGTGTACAAACATCTGTGTAAGTTGGTGCTTAACATTCTTTTGAGTCTATACCTAGAAGTGGAATTTGTGGACCATATGACCATTCTGTTTAATTTCTTGCAGAACCACCATACTGGTTTTCCACAGCATCTTAGAGCACTTTGATGATGCCTTTCTTCAAGGTGTAGGTCAGTTATCCCTTTCTTTTTTTTTTTTTTTAACTTTAAACAAATTTTTATTACACAAAGGTTGTCACATAATTGGATATTTCTCTACTTTGTATACAATTATTCTCACTCTCCACAGAAGGGCTGCCTAACTTCTCATCTGGCGGTGGCAAGCACTAAAATCCTGATTTTAACAGAATAGTAGTAAAAATGCCTCAGTGATTTAAGTTGAAAGCAGTACATTGGTACATGGCTCTTGTACCCAGTATCAGGAATGTACAAATGTCTTTTTATTCAAAAATACAAAATAAATTATCTGTAGGCATGGACAATGACAGCAATAAACCATTATGTATTTTGTCAACTGAAACCAGTAACTGATGGTTATAGTGATGTCTTAAACATCAGCCAGCCTTTTCTTCATTTTCTCCAACTGACTTCTCTGAAGTTATTGGTGAGGAACACTGCCTTGGGCTTCCTGTCACAGTTCAATAATAAAGGTAAAGCACTATTCTAGGAGTTAAAACATGCCACCTCCCATACCACCTCCCATTCCACCCATTGCACCCATTCCAGGGTCCTTCTCTTCTTTAGGAATTTCTGTGACAACAACTTCTGCTGTAGTTAACAGAGAGGCCACACCAGCAGCATCCAATAAAGCAGCTCTCACAACCTTTGTTGGGTCAATAATTCCTTTTTCCACCATATTCACAAAATCTCCAGCCATAGCATCATAACCAACTTCTGAGGAACTTTGCATAATTTTCTCAACTATCAAAGATCCTTCAACACCTGCATTCTTAGCAATGGTCATTGCTGGAATTTTGAGTGTTCTTTTAATAATTTCTATACCAATTTTTTGATCTTCATTAGCTGGAGTCAATGAGTCTAAGGCTGGAATGCACCGAAGCAGGGCACAACCCCCTCCCAAAACAATGCCTTCTTCAACAGCAGCTCTTGTAGCATTAAGGGCATCTGTAACTCTGTCTTTCTTTTCATTCACTTCAACATCACTTGTCCCACCAACCTTTAGCACAGCTACTCCATCTGAAAGTTTTGCCAGCCGTTCATTCAGTTTTTCCTTTTCATATTCACTAGTTGTGACATCTAGCTGCTCAATGATTTCTTGAATACGTTTTTCAATCTGAGCCTTATCACCTTTTCCTTTTAAGAGCATGGCATCATCTTTGGTCACAATGACCTCTCCAACTTTTCCTAAGTCATGAGGCTGAACGTCTTCAAGATTTAGGGTCAATCCCTCTTCTCCAAACACTGCACCACCAGTAGCAATAGCCATATCTTTAAGTTGGTTCTTTCTATTGTCACCAAACCCTGGAGCCTTGACCGCCACAACCTGAAGACCAACCTTTAGCCTATTCAAGACAAGTGTACTTAGAGCTTCTCCATCAACGTCTTCAGCGATTATGACCAAAGGCTTACGGTGAGCATTGGCAATTTCAAGAGCAGGTACAATGGACTGGACACTAGAAATTTTCTTTTCACTCAACAGAACATAGGCATCCTGGAATTCACATTTCTGACCTTTTGATGTATTAATAAAGTATGGAGACATATAGCCTCGATCAAACTTCATGCCTTCAATAATTTCTAATTCATCATTCAGTGTTTTTCCATCCTTTACTGTGATGACACCCTTTCTTCCAACCTTTTTCATTGCATCAGAGATGATATTCCCAATTTCTTTGTCTCCATTTGCAGAAATTGTAGCAACCTGTGCAATTTCTTCAGGGGTGGTCACAGGTTTAGACTGCTTTTTAAGTTCGGCAATTACAGCATCAACAGCTAACATCACACCTCTCCTGATTACCACTGGATTAGCACCTTTGCTAATCTTCTCAAAGCCTTCCTTGGCAATAGAGCGTGCCAGTACAGTAGCCGTGGTAGTGCCATCCCCAGCCTCTTCATTTGTGTTATTGGCAACATCTTGAACAAGTTTAGCTCCAATATTTTTATATTTATCCTTTAAGTCAATTGACTTTGCAACAGTCACACCGTCTTTTGTTACTTTGGGACTTCCCCAGCTTTGCTCAATAATCACTGTTCTTCCCTTTGGCCCCATTGTAACAGCTACAGCATCGGCTAAAAGGTCTACACCTTGAAGCATTAAGGCTCCGGCATCTGCACCAAATTTTACATCTTTGGCGTAAGCCCGAGTGAGATGAGGAGCCAGGACCCTGGAAACCGGTCTCATCTGGCGAAAGACGGTGGGTAACCGAAACATTTCTGTGGGGCGGCGGCAGGGCGTGCGCGCGGAAAAGCAGGTCGTCTACGGCGAGTGAGGGCCAGTTATCCCTTTCATCAGCTGGAAGGGCAGTCATGTGATGATTAGCAGGAATAGGAATGGTGGCTCCACAATTTCCGCAATCTAGCAGGAAGAGGGTGGGAAGGAGTTATCTAGAGCAGGGGTCCCCAACCCCTGGGCCACAGACAGGAACTAGTTCATGGCCTGTTAGGAACTGAGCTGCACAGCAAGAGGTGAGTGGTGGGTAAGCAAGTGAAGCTTCATCTGTATTTACAGTCACTCCCCATCGCTCGCATTACCACCTGAGCTCCACCTCCTGTCAAATCAACAGCAGCATTAGATTCTCATAGGAGCGCAGAACCTACTGCGAGCTGCATATGTGAGAGATCTAGGTTGCATGCTCCTTATGAGAATCTAATGTCTGGTGATTTCTCACCATCTCCCATCACCCCAGATGGGACCATCTAGTTGCAGGAAAACAGGCTCAGGGCTTCCACTGATTCTACATTACGGTGAGTTGTAGAATTATTTTATTGTATATTATATTACAATGTAATAATAATAGAAATAAAGTAAATGTGATACGCTTGAATCATCCTGAAACCATCTCACCTCCATCTCCAAACCTGGAGAAACTGTCTTCCATGAAACTGGTCCTTGGTGCCAAAAAGATTGGAGACCAATGATCTAGAGGCCTTGTCTTGAAGTGAAGTGGTGAAACAAACATATTTTTTTAAAATGTAGATTGCAAAGTACAGATCAATTTTTAAAGCAACATTTTGAGGTTTTTTTCATACTCGACTTAAGATTTAGGTGACTGCTGGAGATCACAAGTAAAGAAGAAAATTTCCAAATAGATTTCTCCATAGGAGGAACGATCAATTTAAACATGAATGATTATCATTTCTGTCGTGCAAAATGGGGGAGTGGGTGGGTTCTTAAAATACATTTTTTTAACTGTCACATTGGGGTTTTTTAATTAAAATGTAGTGTATATATTTCCACCTACATTTTAGGGGAAAATTACAGAATAAATAACTGTATAAAGAAAAACAACAGCAAAACAAAACCAGCTCTGCTGCTCACCTAAACATATACAAACATGCACACTACGCAGACAGGGGAAGACAGGTGCTGGCTGCACACCCCTCGGGAATGTTGGAGAGGGTATTCCTAGCTTGTTGGATGAACTGAGCTCTAAAATCTTTTTCAGTTCAGAAATTCTCAAACCACTATGATCAGTACACTCACGCTGTGTATTGCCTCTCAAGGAAAAATAATCACTTGGGATTTTTGTTGTCCAAAGACATATTCTTCCTTTTCCCAGAGACCAGCATGTTTAAATACTTTATTGTCAGTAAATGGAGAAGTTTTCTTTACATGTTTTTGCATTTGTTTATGAAAAACAAGTTGAGCCAAGTAAGGAGCTGTTGTCTGTGTCACCTAATCATTATCATTAAGTTTGCATTTACTTCCTAAGTGCAGAAGGTATTGCACACAAGATATTGGCTAATCATCACCACAAACTACTTAGAACATATACTTTATTCCCATTCGACAACTGAAAAAACTGGTTGAGAGAGAACAAGAAACTTGCCCAAGGTCATCATTTAGTAGAGGATGGAGCCAAGATTCAAAACTCAGTAAGTCTGCTTCCAAAGCCTACAATTTTTTCATGACTCCAGATGTCCAAGAGATGATGTAATACTCTGTTTGCCTTCACCTGAGATTTCTAAAACATTTAAATCCTTATTCACAACTGGCAACTGAGAATAGTATGCTCAGAACCGTATGTGCTGATAACTTTAAGATGTAATATTTTTATTCCTTTCAAACAAACATCCCCCCGCCCCCTACACATATGCATGCCTGTGGGCACACGCACACACACACACACACTCTCACACACTCACACACACGCATGCACGTGGGCATGCACACACATACACACATGCATGCACGTGGGCACGCATCTACGCACACACACTCACACACTCAATTCCCCTGTTATGCCTTCCTCTGACTGCAGACATGGGCCTGCTATGATTCTGCCTTCTTATGTAAGTTGCGATGAACAGAGAACCTTGGGTTACCACAAGGGGATGGAGGTTTATTTTAAAGACACTAGAGGTGGTGAGGAAACACAGCAGCACAGCCAGGCCCTGTAAAGACCTGGAGCAGTGGCTTCTGGGGACTCCCAGAGCAGTCATGGTGGTCAGACTGTCTTGTTGGGCTGCTCTTCACTTTAGCTGTGACTTGACTTTTCTTTGATTCTTCCTCAATCTGCTTCTCTTTCTATTACCCACTTCTCTTTATTGCTGCCTTTGCTTGAACATGTATCTTCCTACAGCCTTTTCCCAGGCTCATGGCTTATAGTCAGGGCTGAGGCTCACTCTGAGAATACTTGCCCCAAGACGGGAAATCTGATCACATCTTTGCCTCACTATGTAAGATAGAGCATCTCTATTGGGCAGAGGATTCATGACCACCTTATAGTCTGCTAGCCTATTTTATTTTTATTTTTATTTTGAGACAGTCTCACACTGTCGCCCAGGCAGGAGTGTAGTGACATGATCTCACCTCACTGCAACTTCTTCCTCCTGGGTTCAAGCGATTCTCCTGCCTCATCCTCCCAAGTAGCTGGGATTACAGGTGTGTGCCATTATACTCGACTAATTCTGTATTTTTGGTAGAGATGGGGTTTGACCATGTTGGCCAGGCTGGTCTTGAACTCCTCACTTCTGGTGATCCACCAACCTTGGCCTCCCAAAGTGCTGGGATTTTAGGCATAAGCCACCGTGCCTGGCCT